GGATTAAGCTGCATGTCTTACATACCAGTTTTACCATTGTGTAAGTAAATACACAAAGATTAGTTCTAGCCCACTTGGCTCAGTGGATAGAGTGTTGGCCTGTGGACTGAAGAGTTCCAGATTTGATTCTGGTTAAGGGCATGCATGTTGGTCGCAGGGTCCTTCCAGGCCCGGGCCCTCGTCAGGACTCCTGCAGGAGGCAACCAATCAATGTGTTTCTCTCACATTAATATTTCTCTTTGTCTTTCCCTCTCTCTTCCACTCTTTCTAAATATCAATGGAAATCAGTGGAAAAATGGTTGAGGATTTAAAAAACACACATAAAGATTATGAAGATTTTTTTCTGGTCCCTTGCCTCCTGTAGGCAGAATTAGTTGCTCCTCCTCTGTGCCCAGTGACAGAGAGCACAGTCACAGTTCATCTTAAATCAGATTCCTCCATGAATCTATAAGCTCCTTTTGAGCAGGCATCCTGCCTCCTTGATCTTTTAATCCCCACGATCTTGCCCTGTACTTCATACACAGGAGACCCTCAAATTTTTAAATAACTGGTAATTAATCCAAATTTTCTACAGTGTATGACTTTGTTGTGGTTTAGCATTTATACATGCAGTTCTAGTGTACAGAATTATAAATAGTGTATTTCAGATTTTTAAAAATATTTCTTACAATTTTGTTTTTTCCGCCCCAATTTTTTCAATTGCAGTTGGCATTCAATATTATATTAGTTTCAGGTGTACATCATACTGATTAGACATTTATATGATTTATGTAGTGCTCATCCTGTAAGTCTAGTACCCACTTACTAGCACCATACATAGTTATTACAATATGATTGACTATATTCCCTATGCTATACTTTATACAATATGGTTTAATATAGGTGATGTAATAAAATCTACATAACAATTTCATTTAGACATTTTTCAAGTCAGTTACTCATTTTTCTTATTATTTAGTACAGACAGCATATATCATTTTGAAGTTTCTTTATTTGGTTGTTTTAATATATGCATGCCCCCAAATCAAGGCAATTATGAGACAATATCCATTTTTAGAGGCAAAAATGTATGAATAATATAATGTTGAGTAAAAGGTTTCATATAAATATATACACATTCCTCCCTTTTTTCTCTTATTCCTTTTTATATGTTTTTATAGTTTTTAAGTAATATTTTTCCGTAGATGATGGTTCAAAATTCAACAGGCACAAAAGGGTGTGCAAAGAAGTAGCTCTCATGCCACAACTTTGTCCAGCCAACCTTGTGCATACTTTCAGAAACAGTCTCTACACATACAAGCAAGTTTATATAAACAGATACATATATACTCACAAATATGTATTTTACATATGTATTAATAGCAGTGACACAACCACAAACATTGTTATGCATGCTGATTTTTTTTTTTTACTTAATATATCTTGGCTTTTTATTCATATCAGTGCTTATCCTTTTATTTATTTTTAACCAGAAGTTATGGAAAATAAGGAAGATATTATTGAACCCTTTAAGAAAGCTTGAAGTATTTCCATGTGCAGAATAGAAATATTTCTTGCCACATAATAAAATGACAGCTATAAGAATATTTCACCTTGTAGATCAGAGCTATTCAATAGAAAGATAATGTGATAATTATATATGTAATTTTAAATACTCTAATAGCTACTTGAGAAAAAATGAAAAAAAAACAGGTGAATATTTTATTTTACACATTATATCCATAATATTATCATTATAACATGCAATCAGGGGGAGGAGGGCAATAATTAAGCTACGTTACATTCTGTTCTTACTCAGTCTTTGAAATTCAATGTGTACTTTTCACTCTAGAATATCTCAGTTTGAACTAACATATTTTTAGTGCTCAATACCAGGTTTGGCTAGTCGCTACTGTACTGGGCCGTGCAATTCTGACCTTACTTACGAACAATTTTAACTAGCTAAAGATAGAGGCCTCCGGAAGGTGGCTGAGTCTGGAGGGGTTGAGACATAGGGAAGGTCCAGGACATTCTAGGCAATACCTACCTTCCTTTCCAGACCTGGCCGGAACGGCACCTTCTGGGTCTCTGAAAAATATTGACAGGCAGATGGAAAACCTGAAAGACACAGGGTCCTCTATAGTTGGTTCCTAAATCATAGCTCCTGCTGCACCAAAAAAGAGCAACTCTGCCCCCAAAGGACAAACTAGTCTAAATTGTAAATTTAAAAGTTGCACAGCCCTGCCTCCCGTGGCTCAGTTGGTTGGAGCATTGTCAAGCGCACAGAAAGGTGGAGGGTTCAGTTCCTGATCACAGCATATAGCCAGGTTGCAGGTTCAATTCCTGGTCAGGGTGTGTATAGGAGGCAACTGATATATGTTTCTCTCCTCTCTCTTTCTCCCTTCCTCTCTAAAAAACAATAATAAAAAGGCTCCATTTTTTTTAAATGGCTCATGTTATCCCACCACCTTCTACCTATGTATGCTTCCCATTCTTAAGTCAGAGAACAGCTTTTTTTTTTTTTTTTTTTTTACCAGACAAACTGTAAGAAGTCAGTGTTAACGTAGAACACGGCTCTTTCCTGCCTGGTACAGCCAGTTCATGACATACATATTTATACTTACAGAACCTAGCCCTTAGTTTCTTTGATATCTTTTGTACCAAGGAACCAGGTGCTACAACTCTGTGCCATCAGCTTGGCCTTGCCTTCATATCCCAAAGGCCCCCGTCCCCGTGCAAATAAGAGTTTTAGTGCTGAACTCTGTCTGGCAGACAGTGGGATCTCCCCCTCAATGTATTCCAGGGGGAAATGGCTGTCCGCACCCTCTATGCTCTGCTTACACTATTTAATTCAACCCACTGGCACTAGTCTATGTATCCTACTGTTTACCTCGTGCAACTACATAACAACCTCTGTTCTAAAAAAACCCTCTGATTCTAAGCTTTTCCTGGATTGCTATATTCAAACTGCAGCTTTGAAAGGGACTTTTTCTACCTAGAAAGAATACCAAGGAAAACATAATAAGAAAAAGCCACAAAAGGTACCCCGTGAAGCCGGTCTCTAGGTTAAGAGCTGTCAGGCTCCCCTTTACATGTATAAGGATGCGTGGACAGCTAGAGGGAAGAAATACTGAAGGGCCTTCTCCCAACTCTGAGACTCTGATCCCACGAGTACAAACTTTCTCTCCATGATTCGGACTGGAGCTCATGTTTCCAAACAGAACTATGCTAAAAGATCTTAGCGTCATATAGCATACCTTTCACCAAGGAAAACTCCTGCAATCTAATATACTTTCGAACAGTTTAATATATGTATGTGTCATGAACTGGCCGGAAAGAGCAGTGTTCTGCGTTAACGCTGACTTCTGGTGGCGTGCTGATGCATTGCTTTCCTTCTCCAAACGGGCGGGCTTCCTTGTCCAAACCCAGACCTATTGTAGTTTGTTACACTGGATATGGGGGCCGCTGATTTAATCCGGTACCCTTCAACATGGCAGCCAAGCAGACTCTTCTGTGCATTCAACAGCTTGGGAACCCACCTTTCTCCTGGCTGCGCCAAACCTGGCCCTGCAGCTCCCCTGGCTCTGAGGGTGTGGGTGGGGCCTGGCGGAGATGCTGACTTCTAGGGAGCACCTTGCAGGACTATTGCTCACGGGAAGCCTGCACCTGCTATTCTGCTAACTGTTCCTTTGTTTTCAATGATGAAGTGACAGTGCAGTTCCCTAGCACTCACACCTACTTCAAGTGACCTGGTCATTAAACTGCACAGCTAACCGACCAGACAAGAGTCACGGTGCTCCGTGCGCCCTGCAGGGCAGCACCCACCGCCCTCTCCTTTCCTGGTGCAGAGCTTTGGGTCTCTTCCTCCGCGCACCCCGCTCTTTAGTCGTCCATGAACGGTGTGTTTGTTATGCACAAGGGAAAGCACAAGTCAAAATGGTTGACTTTACTCCTTTCTGTTGCTTATCTAATCATTAATTTTGTTGTCTTTTAAGCCAAAAAGGAAGTCATTGATATACTGTCAGTATCTCACATTTAAAGTTTTGGTGAGCCATCCACATGAAAGCCGCGCTTGTTTTGGCCTTCCTCATCCTGGACTCCCAAGATGCTCTCCTCTGCTCTGGTGCTTAGGTTACTTATGTCCTGCAGAGTGTCCAGCCCACAAATCAGATCTTGCTTCTTGAACACGCCTCTCCTGTCATTGCATGAGTCAGTGAATGTTCTGGAAAGGTAGACTAGATTAGACTATAATTATATTTTCAGAATATAATTATCATAATTATTTAAAAGGCAAGGTTCTTTCTTTCTTTTTTTCTTTTTCTTCTCATAGTTGCAACTTGTAGTCATCCATTTCTTTTATTGGCAGTAAAGATGCACAATCATAAGATTTTTAAATAAAAACGATTTGGATGATTTTCAAGTATTTTCACTAAAGATTTATATGAAAACACGTGCATTTATTTTGCAGGATAACGATTTAGAACAGGACTGTCATTTTAACTTAACCTACTTTGAGTGGATATAAAATTGGTCCTTTTTTTTTTTTTTTTTTTTTTTAGTTGAAGGTGATGTATTTTGCTCACGTGAAGAACTTTTTTGGTGTTCTGATGCGATTCACCAAATCAGTTTTCTGTTCTACACTGAACCTCACCTCTCAATTCTTCATTGCACTTAAGATTATGTCTTGCTAAAAAGTTGAACATCAGTCTATAACCAGTTTGGATCATAAGAAATGAAACTGGAAATGTAGAGTAGAAAGGAGCACCATTTGCTCTGGCCAAAGGTCCCTGAGTCCCTGGCACAGAGTTCCTAAGGCGAATGTTGCTTAGTTCATCTTAAATACTTATTTCTGGCTTTCCAGGCAGACCTGGCTCCACCTCTGCTGATAGGATCCTTAGAGAAAACAAAAATAGTACAGTCGCTTAGTCTGAGTAGGTATTTATAGAATAAGCCATTGTGTGATGATGGTAGAATCAGTTAAACACATTTTTTTCTCTTTTTATGCACTACTTGACATCAAGCAAAAAGAGGTAAGTTGGATGTAAAACTGAAAGTGAATCTTATTTTCTTTAATAGATATATTCCTGATAGCATTGCTTCACTTAAATTTCTACAAATCAAATACTTTTACATTAGAAAGCTTGTCATTGTAAATACTTATTTTTTTCTTTGAAAAAAAAAATGAATCAACACCTTCTATGAACTTGGATTTAAAAATATTTAATATTTAAACATATTGCTTTTACTTTATCTGGGCTATACGTATGGTTTAATTTGCTTATGAGGATATAGTATATTTTGAAACACTTGGCTTAGTTTTGGGGTTTCTGAATTGTTTTCCCCCAAAATTGTGGGTTATGTGTTATAGTGATTTTCTTCTTTTCTTAAAAAACAAAAGGAAAAAAAAGAAACAATTGACAATGGTGAAAGCCTGTAATTTTCAGATCCATGCCCTGAACCTCTCAGAGTATTTCCCAGCATTGATTTTTTTTAAATGATAAAAAATAATAATGTTGAACAGGAAAATCAAACACATTTCACTGAGTGGTGTCTCATATATTTTTCTTGTTTGGTATATATTTTTACAATTGATCTTTTAGTTGTAGTTTGTTTAACTTTATCTTTTCTTTTGATGATGAATTAATCTTGACATTTCAAAGGTATAAGCTGGTCTTTATCTGATACATGCTGTTACTGATTGAGAAAGGATCTACCAAACCACCCTGAGTTAACCGTGGTGCCAGTTAACTCTATGCCATTGTTCTTGGAAAGGTCATTTCTGAACAAAAGACAATTTCCTAATGGGTGTTTATTTGGTGTAAGAATCTAGCAGCAAAATGTACTTTTACCTCTTGGTGCCACTGCATTTCATTACCCTCCCTCTCACCTCCCATGTCTTTCCTACCAAAGGCTGTTGCTTACACACATGCTCATAGTTTAATGGTAAGTTGTTCAGGAGCAGAACATTAACTCTGCTGCCAGGCATTTTTATATTTCTTTTTTTGCAAGGTTTGAAATAAAAATAGATTATGAGTATTGCTTTGTCTTACCAGCGAGTCAGATGATATTCTTCAGGACAGAAAATGGGAAGCTAGATGAAAGTTTTTGTCTAATCCAAGCATGTCAAACTCAAAGGCTAATGCGGGCCTAATATACAAGGTTTAAGTTTATGTAGGCCGTAAAAAAACAAAAGCTTTAATATTCATAGAAATGTATTTAATGAATAATATTATTTCTATAGAGAGGTGCTGAATACAAAGGGCTGAAATAAATGAGTAATCAATAACATAAAATAATACTGTGTTTCCCCAAAAATAAGACATCCTCTGAAAATAAGACCTAGCGCATGGAAAGATAAGACATCCCCTGAAAATAAGACCTAGCACAACTTTGGGAGAAAAAATTAATATAAGACACTGTCTTATTTTCGAGGAAACAGGGTAGAACATAATGAAAATTTATATTTTTCTTGGACATTAACTTACCAGACTCTGAATAACTGCACAAATTAATAAGTGTAACACAAGCAAACCTATTTTTCTTGCTCTCAAAAAGCAAAATATTTCTGGTTGTGCACACCAAACAAGAGAGCACAAGACTAATGACGGGGCAATCGGCCGCTAAAATATTCACTGCCAGTATTAGTGGAGAGAAATGGTGTGCCTGCGCATAAGGGTAATGAATGCAACACGATTATTGTAATCAATGTCCTTAGAGAACATTGTAGTTTGTTATTAATAATTATGTATAAGAGGATATTGTAAAAATTAAGTGATGAAATTTTTATTAAAACGTTTTTTACAAACAGTTATACTGGCTGGGCCGCAAAAAATATTCATTGTGGGCTTCATGCGACCTGCAGACTGCGAGTTTGACATGCTTGGTCTAATTTCTAATCACTATAAAGTCTAAAAATGCTCCCTGTTCTTAGCAAGTCATGCTTCGAGTCTACATTGTTGAAGGCAGTTTTAATGTGTGTCCCAAAAGTGTAATAAACTGTACACAGTTGTCATTATGTAAAGGTAGAGCCAAAAGTTTTTAAAGATTTATTAGTAATATTTTTTGCATTGTCTATACTGACATGTTTTTGTGTTTCAACAATTCTGTCTTTTCTAGAAATATTTAATGAATAATATTTATTCCAGAAAGATTTAATGAGTAAATGATTGTTTCTGACTATCAAGGATATAAATGTGGGAATTTTCCATGTTAAACACTGATGTAAAGTTAAACCTGAAGTGTCTGGTGACATAAATTAGCAGATTGCACCCCTGCGTAGTTGGAAATAATGCTATTATCTGTGGGTACTTTTTGATAAACTAATATATTAATAGGATATGTGATACGTATGGCAAAAAGGGATGAGGTAGTCAACTCTATGTGTTTGATTATAAAATGCTAAAAGTTGTTCACAGATCAACTGTGCACCATTAAATAGTCAGTGCACCATTAAATTCATCATTTCATTTTAAAAAATATTTCAAATTTTTCTAACCAGTTTTTATGTATGTAAATGTTGCTATCTCATGCCTCCTTATTATTGTTCTTTATATAATGTTTCTACCTTAAATTTTTCTTATATTTTTCTAACTCTTTTACTTTCTATGTTTGTTTTTTCAGTTTACATGTATAGGCATCATAGGACTACGTAACTGTTCAAGTTGTTACTCCTAGGAGAACGTATTTTGATGCTTTTTTCCATTAATTTTTCTGTTAATTCAGCAACATGTTATTAATCATTTGGTAGATTTAGTGAGGAATAATTTAGTATTGGGCACACTTTAAATATGGCAATTAAAATTTTATTTTTAAAATGTATATATCAAAGTCATCATTAACGACCTGATATAGCTAAACTAGCTCTAAGATCTTTATCAAGTAACATTTCCTCTTTCTTATTCCTTTTATTAGAAATATGTGGTTCTGATGACAAGAATATCTAAATTGTAAACTCTCCCTTTTCAAAGAGGATCTGTCCAACAATGGCATGAATAAAGTACTAATGAAGAAATGAGTCCAAAGATCTGTTAGGGGAAGTGAAGTCAGTATATTAGAAAGTATTTTTGCACCACAGGCAAATTCTCCAGGCACACTCCCCTGGGGAAATGAATAATGACAAGAATTAGAAGGCAAGGCCCTCGCTGCCTCACCCTGCAGCCTGGCTGAGGAAGTTAGGTCTCCTTGGCAGATAGCAGTGGCCACACGCTGGACACGAGAAATGCTGGTGGAGATGAGATAAGTGCTGAAGGAGTTTAGAGGAAGCAGGCACTTCCTCCTGGAGTGACCAGGCTGGAACTTGTTGGTTCTGAATAGTCAGAGAGAAGGGAGACCATTTCAGATTAATGCAATGTGAGGAGCAAAGGCTGGATTGAAATGATTTCATCATATAGTCTATTTGGGGCCTTTTTAATTTTCCTTCCTGTTAGTGGGATTTACTTTGTTTCTTGATGCTGACTCCTCCCTTTGGTCCCTCATGTCTAATCAATGACCAGTTCCTGTCGATGGAACCCGGGCTACGTGCTTTCCCGAACATTCTTTCACCTGGTATCTGCAAAATTGGCATTTCGTGTCCTCACTTCACAGATAGAATAACTGAGACGCAGAATGGTTCCTCAGTGTCCCTCAACTGCTCAGTGGTGGAGCGGGGATCAAAACCCAGAGGTCTCTCATGGACCCCGAAATTCATGCTGAAATGGAGGAAAGTTGAGGAGCACAGTGTCGGGGGGGAGGGGAGGGAAGAAGGGAGAGGAAGGCAAAGAGGTATAGAAAATTACTGCAGAAGCATCATTGGCAAATAGAAGGACATTGTTGTGACATACCCATTACCCATTCCCTTAGATTGTTGTGTAAAAACCTCAAGAAACATGTCAGTAACTATGGGAAGCACCTTTGTGCTATTATCCACAAAAATCCAGAATTCCTGCATTAGGGAGGCTTTTAAAAATCATTATGCAGTTTTTCTGTCCTTCAGTGCACAGTGCAGAGAAACTTATACTTTCTGCTAACCTAATTACTCAAATTTCACATCCTATCATTGATTTCGTTTTCCCCAGCATCCCTGATTTGACCACTTTTACATCTTTCTAAAGTGCTTTTTGCTAAGAAGAAAGTCTGCTGAAATTCAAGTGTAGATTTTCACTTACAATTTATGCTCTGGCTTTCTGTATATATCCTTTCATTTGAGTTTCCTTGAATTAAAACATTTATTTATTTCAACCCTTGGACTTCTTAGATTTTAGAAGAATTCAAGAGAAGTTTAGTTATTGGTTTATTAAGACTAAAGAGTTGGCAGATAAGAGAGAGTAATAACTGCTTTCACTTTGGATCAGGTACAAAGGCTCTGTATTAGTTCGGTTAAGGAGCTGAAACAATAGACATTTATTTTTCTCCCAGTTCTGCAGGCTGGAGGCCCAAGATCAAGGTGTGGGCAGGTTTGGTCCCTCCTGAGGCCTCTCCTTGCTGTGCACATGGCTGCCTTCTCACTGCCTTTTGTCTGTGTGAATGCATCTCTGGGTCTCTCGGGGTGTCCTACACTCCTAATCTCCTCTGCTTATAAGAGCATCGGTCAGATTGGATTAGGGCTCACCCTACCTTAAGTATGTCTTTAAAAAGCCTATCTCCAAATATGGTTATATTCTTAGGTACTGGGTTAGTGTTTCAACATATGGATTGGAGGGGTGGGGAAACACATAGTCAGTCTATATAACAGGCACTATGGGGCATTCTACCAAAAGGACATGGGGTGCACAGTCAGAAACCTGGGCTCAGGTTCTTACTCTGTTCCTCTCTCTGAGGGGCCTCAGAAAAAATCACTTAACTCTTCGGATCCGCAGTGTTCTAATCTGTAAAATGGGCTATGACAACCAAATTTAGTTGAGTATCCTGAGCACTAAAAAGATTTTGTTCACTATAAATACCATACAGAAAGTGACCATGCATAAGTTCCTTAAGCTCCATAGGCCTCAGTTTCTTATTTATAAAATAAAAACAAAACCTACTTCTTTGAGTTTTTACAAGGATGAAAGAGCTG